AAGTAAATAAAACATAGACAATGTCACATACCGTCGGTTAAATTTGAAAACCTCGTTACTACGTTTTTGGACGAAATTCTTTTTTTACTCTTCAATTTAAGTAATTAAAGCTTAAATATAATTTGTAGCCCCTGTTATAGTTATAAAGTAAAATAATTCTGTTCTTTGTGCCTATTCAAAAGTTCACATTTTACACAGGTTACAAGATTTACGAATTTACAAGTTGGTCCCAAAGCAAGTAACTAATGCACTTGTGTTATGGAAATCGGGAACAATGACGGTACCACAAACATCCAGATCCGAAACAATACCTATAGAAAAGTCTTACTACATTGACCCGATCGGAGATCGAATACGGGACCTCAGCGACACCATGAAATCGGTCTGCAAGCCACTCGACCATGGAGCTCGTCAATCGTCTTAGATATTTTAGTAATCTTTAAAAACGTTGATATATTTTAAATTTACTCTCTAAAATAGGACATATGCTATTGCATATGTTCCCACCATGACATTTTTGTCTGTAGTATTAAGTGTTTCAAAACAACACTGTACACTAGTATAAAGAAAAAATAGCATCCCTATTTTGTTTAACGTCTTTCCTTTTATATTATATACTGTCCTAATGTAAATGTTGTGTACAATTATAATTGGATGTCAGATTTATAATGTTACATATGTAGTACTTCTAAGTATTATTTGCAGTCTGTTATCTGTTGCTGTACCATATGAAATAAAATTAAAAAAATACCTTGCTTTCAATACGACTAAATGAAATGGTGAATGATAAAGTCAAAATTTCCATTTGTCTAATGCTACAATAAACGATGTACAAGTTTAATACAAAAAGTGTGATATAAATGGGATCCTCGCAAAAAATGGATTTTGTTATCGAGTTCACAACCATATTGCATAATCACGTTTATTTACACTAATTAATTTATTTTATGGATAGAAAAGTAAGTATATATAAAAATGTGCCATGAACGAACTTGCGTTTCTCAGTCACGCTATGTAATGGTGTTGTTGTGTAGATGGTTATACCAACATATACAAACCTACCATACTTCACGAATGTACTTCGGGGGTCGTGTAAAGTCGGTTGCATTAGTAATAAAAAAGGTGGCAGAAAATGTCATTATCTTGACTTTCAACTAATTATTTTAAATTCTCTTTAGTTTCTGTTAAATATTCTTTAATTTTTCCCTCCTCTAATACTCGGGCCGCACAGAGGTAACCGCGGAAGCGTTCCGGGCGCAGCAATTTTAGTTTTTTTGTAAAAAGCGCGTTTCAGTGTGACAGGGTTCATATGAACTCGTACATTACAAAATTCCCGCGCCCGGAACGCTTCCGCTGCTGCCTCTGTGTGGCCAGAGCATAAGTAAAAAACAGTGTAATACAGTGGAGGAAGACTGATACTTATATAACATTTACTTTTCATTTTTTTACGATAAATAAAAGTCCATGACACGCAAAGACTTCAATCTAATACATAGACATGGTAATGAACTAAGTCCAAACTCATGGTACCACGATTTCGTTTAACTAAGGTAAACGATTCTTTTACGGGGAACTGTATATGTTTTTACAAAAAGATTCCGGAGTATATTAATTTAAGATTATCATTTGCTAAGTTTAAAACTTACATTAAAAGTATTTTAATTGAAAATTCATATTACAAAATTGAAGAGTATTTGTCAGATAAAGATGTATGGAAAGAAAACGCGAGTCTAGATTCCAAACAAATATGATTCAAAATGTATTTCTATTCAATATAAGTTTATTTGAAAAGAGCAATCCCTTTAAGAGTTTCTTGCTCGTTCTTCTCAGGGAGGTCAGTGTAGTGAACGAGCAGTAGCTAAAATTGCGTTTTCAAGTGTAAACATTTTACTCTGTAATAAATGATTATTTATTATCGATGCAGTCGCGCGCGCGCATCGCGTTTGCATCGCTGCTTAAAATCGCGCGCGTGTGTGTAAAGGCAGACGATTAGCGACTGCATCGCTACAGCATCGCGTTTGCATCGCATAACCGCTCTTAGAAGACAGAAACAAAGAAACTATACGAGCTAAAGTTTTTGGCAAGCTCTGCTACGAGCCGCGTTCACGTATTTTCATTAGTGGTTCCATTTATTTCTAGAGTCCTTGTAGTTGTAGTTTAGCAAAGAGGAAAAGCGCTATTGAAAGAGCTAAATCGAGCTGCATCAGAGCGAAGTTGAGATCGCTTACTTATTTGACTTCTTGCAGAGTTTGCCGATAAAGTTGGGCAGACTAGTGGAATAAAATTCAGGTAGCGCAATGCTGTAACGAGTTGAATTTTTAAAAACGTAGCGGCTGTAGTAAGACGTAGTTCTTTAATTTATTTCCTTTAAGTCTGTGTTTACGCGCAGATATCTTTAAAAGTGAAGCTAAAATAAACGCTATGTGTCAGGATATCTTAGTCCAAGTTGTTGCTGGATTGTTTCCGGTACGAGCAACAGAGTGTAGTGTTGTTAAGAGACTTGTAGATTTACCGAATATGCGTAGGTGCTATAAATTGTATAGTAGGCAACCCCTACAAGATTAAAAGACATTTAGGTACTATTTTCCATATTATCTCTTCAGCAGCGCCACCCAGACATGTAATTTATAGTTTAGGTTACGATAAAACTGATATTGTTCGTTCGTTGTATCATCATCATTCAGACACACGACGCCCACTGCTGGGCTTAGGCCTCCACCAACGATGGGTCCTGCGCTGCCCGCATCCATCGGCTTACCGCGACCTTTACCAGATCGTCGGTCCACCTGGAGGTGGCACTACCCACGAGTGTCGTCCGGTGCGCGGTCGCCATTGAAGAACCTGTCCGCCCCAACGGCCATCGGTTCTCCTAGCTATGTGCCCAGCCCACTGTCACTTCAGCTGAGCAATTCTTTGAGCCATATCGGTTACCTTAGTTCTCCTACGGATTTCCTCATTTCTAATTCTATCAAGTAAGGATATACCGAGCATCGCTTTTATAAAATTCGTTCATTGTATAAAAGTTTCTAAATAAATAAAGATTTAAAAAAATCTTAATCCAATATGTACAATACATTTGGTTTCCTGCTAATACCACTAAAATGCTTGTTTTATAGCAAAAGCTGAGTTTCCAAGATAATAACAATCAGCTTACTGAGTAGATAGATACTTCACTTTTGTTTAGGAAATGAAACTTTTTTGATTACATTATGATTGACTACAGGTACAGTCAACCGTGACCATGGGACCTGTCAAGGGCCCGAAACGTCGGTTTGTTTGAAAAAACAAATATACGCGATTTCAATCCGGAAAAATAGTTTCATTTCCTATGTGTAACAATCGCGAAAACCTAAGAATTCACTTTTGTTATTAAAAAAACTAAACGTGCTGCTTTTGCCATGCATGTACATTAGGGATATCTGTGTATTCGTAGAAATTATCCTCAACATTTCAAAACACGTGGTGAAACTAATCAAAGGCAGACTAGAACAAAAAATTATGAATCTTTTGTACCAACCTCGTTGCCATAAAGTAATTTATAAGAAAAACTGTTCCAACATATTATTATGTAATTGAAGGATTGGGTGCAACAAGGGCGAATCACGTGAAAATAAAATAATGAATGAAATGAAAATAAAGTTTTGATGTATCTTTTTAATATTTACGATATGTTTCTTGCGTATTTTATTATTTATTTGTCCTATGATTTAGCTGAAAGCTTCAGGTGTTATTAATATTTTAAAACAATTAGAAACATATGAATATATTTTTCTTTCCCTTGTGCCTACCGCCCTTGTTGCACCAAACCGGCAAATTAATGGGGCGTGAAATGATACAATTTTTTTACAATATAAGTGACGGGACGAACAAGTCGGGCGCCTGGTAGTAAGTGCAGTGCGTCACTCTGAGCTTTAATACGCAAAGATCTCAGGGGCACTGCCATTGCGTCCATCATCCTGAGACATAAGTTGACAAGTCTCATGTGCCTGTAATTTGACCAGCACCCTTACCCTTCTAAGCCGGAACGCGGTAATGCTCACATTACTGCTTGGAAATAGGTAACGTGGCAGTACTTCCCTTTACGAACTCTTTCACAAGGTGCTCTACTGCTAACTAAATGTTACATAATATATGTACAATATGTTAATGACTTCAGACAGATAATAGTATAGTAGTAATATCAAACGCAAGTATCGCATTTCATAAATATCATAACGGAAACAATGCCAGGAGGCGAAAGTCCAACAATAGCATGGTTAGGTAACATAAATAAAAAACGCAAAATATGCATCACTGTTAAAAACTGTGTAATAAATACACACACACACACACACACACACACACTCTTGTTTGAATTATAGGAGATGTCTTAAGCAATACTTCATCGTAGGATAGGTAATTCCCACATTAATTCCCCAAGCGCACAATTTAATGAAAAAATATACTAGCATATCGAGTTTTTATGGTTTCGCGATTGAAATATTAAGATTTCTATCATTACAGCCAGCCCTGACCATTAGGTTCTAAAAAGAGTCTGCAATATTGGATTGTTTGAAAAAATTAAAGGGATTTAGTTCCGAAAAAATAAAAAGTAGTTCCTTTGCAATTAATTATACCAATAGTGACGCTAGTTGTCTCTTCTATTCATAAAAACAACGGAAACGATATCGAGTTCTTAGGTTTTTGTACACATAGGAAATGAAAAACCAATATTTCGAGCAATACACATATAGCGCCGGTTCTAGACCACACAGCGCGCGGGGCAATCTATACCCTGGCGCCCTCTAGTGGCACGCGACCAAAATATTTTCCTCAGTGATAGGAAATTCGAGTGCAAATTGTGCAATTATAAATGATGTTGGCAAGCAATGCCTGTTTACTGCGCTGGCGTTCGGCGCCCCTTAAAACCCTGCGCCCGTGTGCGCTGCAATCTTTGCACCAATTCTAGCACTTCCTGATAACAGGAAAGAGGAGAAAGGAAACATGTTTAGAATACTCACTCAGCTTCTTCAACAGTCTCCGACATGGCGAGGAAGACACAGTTGAGCAGAATGGTAGCCATGACGAAGTAGTCGAAGTACTGATTCGTGGAAAAATAGACGCAGGCTCTCCGAACGGGGGACCACGGTGACCACCAGAAAAGAGACCGGGTTGCTGTGAACCGATGAATGTAGTTCTTGCGAAATCGCTTTGACACCACGCAAAATGTCTGGAACAAGGAAAATTTGGATGTTATAAAACATGATGCTTAAATCATAATATTACTATTATTTAAATAGACATGGTACTAGATATTCCGCCGACAATAATTTTAAAACTTTGTTTAAATAATGTTTAAATTTACGTATTACAAAAGCTCAAATCTCACAAAATGTTGATGCACAAGTACTTTAGACTCTTAAAACGGTATGTATTCCATGTAGAGTTCTTAGATCTTCGTTATTATTATTACACGTAGGAAATGATAACATTTTTTCGGATCTAATACGCGAATATTTGTTTTTTCAAACAAATCAATGTTTCGGAATCTTTACAGCTCTCACAGTCACGGCTGACTGACATGGTAATGGTTAATGCAAACAAACCACCATATTTTAAATTATACGTTTGAAATATATTTAGCAATTTAGTTACGAAAAGGTTAATTTTCAAGAACTGAAATGTACCATTCCGAGGTAAAATTTCGGTGCACCCTCGTCCCAGTAGGTTAGGTGAGATAGATGAAAAAGCCGCACGAACCGAGCGAGGGAAGCTAGTGTGTCGCGGCAGCGGCCGGCGAGTGCCAGAACAGAATTTAATGCGTTTCTGAACATGTTTTAAATGTGAATTAAATATTTCAGCTTAATTTTCTCGAAAACTATTGCCCGCGGAGAAAAATTAATGAGATCAAAAAGTCTTTATCTAATTAATCGGAAACAAACACAAAAAACCAATTTAAAACCAAATTAAAAAAAATTAGAAATCTGTAATACAATTTGTATTGAATGGATTCTATTAGTTTTCGAGGAATTACTCCACTCGTTTGTTATAATTATTAATACGAAGATCCAACACTTAGAAACAATTCCTTCGATCCGGCCAGATTCGAACCGACGTCTTCTAGCAAACCGTGCCAGACGCTATGCCAACTAAGCCACGGATGGATTTTTTTCTAAGTGTTCGCTCTTTGTATTAATAATTATAACATTCTGTTATAAGTCCAGTTTCCGTAGGGCTCCCTTTCCTATCATCTGATTGGAAACTCAGGAGAGAAAATCGACTTGAATTACCTACTGAAGCTCATTGTAAAACAATCACCTACGTTCCTGGCGACATCCCAAGTGTATAAGCTACGCGTAGCATATATAGAACGGATTGCTGCTACGCTGACTACTGACTCGGTTATCGCTACGGCAGACTCGTATGATTTATGGCTCATGGCGCAGACAATACCATTAATAGAGCGTCTACACCGTCTTTCATCGTCTGTTCCTTACGTCAGTGAATACACTCAATTCTTTGTTCGGTATGAGCTTTGTCATGTTCATTTTTCAGTGGTTCTTTTTCTTTTAGTAGCGATAAGTTTCTTGGTTTAAATTTTCAGATTAAATTAACCAACAAATCTTCAAAGCTTTCTTAATTCCATAGTTGCATTTCAAACTCTTCAATTTATGGTTAAATTAACACAGTGTAATGAATTTTATGACTGTTCAGCTCAATCCTATGGGAACCAAACTAAAATACTGTAAATATAAAATAAAATATGTGTGTATATAAAAATATTTTTTATTGTATATTTAAATAATGTATATTGATTGTTTATTTTAAAGTCAGTATGACGTAAAATGAGATTTTTTTAATTTTTTTTTTAATATTATTAAGGCTTTGGCAAAGCCATCAGCCTAAACATGAAGTTTAATTATGTTTCTGTAAATATGGCCGCCACAAAGAGGATAGGCAATTTGAGGCGGCGTGCTTGGATTGACTCGGGATTCCTTAAAACGGGCCGATACGGGTATTTTAGTTCGAGATTCGTATAATTTCGCGTTTTAATCTTCGATTAAGGCACAATAGCACTATCCTATTCCACTTTAAACTAGATTTCACAAAATAATTGAAAGTCAAAATAAAAACGACACTTTTCCCTCCAAAAGGTCCAGAGCGAATCCGTAAAATGAGAGTTTAATGCGCACTTGTTGTCGTTTTGTAATTCTTTCCATTACGGAAAAGGCAAAGGTTTAAAACCATACAGCCAAGTCCTGGCGAATTTTTTTTATTAATTTTAAGTATAATATCATTGATTTTAGGTAATCAGGCCTACGAGCTACGCCAACAGTTCAGTCTATTTGTTTTTATTCTATCCTGTCTAATGCTCGTATTCCAGAACTCTACTCAATGCTCAAGCAGACTTGATTATGATTTCAAGTACTGGAAATACGACCCTAATGGCAAGGCCTTGAGTATGATTTTCAGTGCTCACTGCAATACTCAAGTCCTGACGTGAGTATTGAGTAGAGTTCTGGAATACGACTCTAAGAGTCTGTTAGACGTACGTTTTTTATAGGCATTAAGCCTCGTCTTCTGTGGTTTTATCGAGTAATTAGCGCACCATAGACAATGTTTTTTAAATAATAAGAGTACACACGACGTATTTTACACTCGCCGTGAACGCGCATCAACTGCATGTATACCTATGCGCCGCAGACGCGCGCATTTTAATACGAGGATTGTTTTAATTTTACTTTTGTTTGTTAATTTTAGTTAGTTTTTGAAATGAAGCAATTACATGAAATTCTAAGGGTAAACTCCAATTGAGTATACAAGCTTGTTGTTTGCAACGCGATCATGGAATACTCCACTCCATAACCAGAAATATAGACGATATGTCATTTAGTTTGTTTCAAAACTATTCTGCCATTATGTTAACAACTGCGCTCCGATTGGCCAGTCCGAATTCGAAGCAATTGACGGGTGTCGTCAATTGTTTCGCTTTAAATCGACCAGTTTAACTTGAGCTTTGCTATAATGGACGAAAATTGAAAAATTACATATTTAATTACCGATGAAATGTGATTCCGTTTGTTTTGTAATTAGATGTTTTGCTGTTTTTCCCACACACCCGAATGGAACAGCCTCCCGTAGTTAGAGATATTATCTTTATTACAATAAATACAGAATATTTTTGGAATATACGGAGACGTATATACAGGTCAGTTGTTGGCGCTGTACTATTTCAGTCACCTGATATTTTAAAAAAAAGATTGTCCCATCTACGTCAACGACGAGAGCTTACGAATTACTGCAGTATGAAGTAATTTATAAGGTTTTTGAGATTACTTTCTGCTTTATGGATTTTGTACCATGTGACATGCATAGATTATTCTGTAACAACCACAGACCGATATCTAGATAAGATCTAGATAGACGCCGCAAGTACAGCAATTTGTATGAAAACCGAACGTGCCACATTTTTTGTACCCGCTATGACGTCACAAGAACTATTTAGTGATGGAAACCTCCTTCCGCTCGCTCTAAATCGATTGATTGAACGGAATACGCGAAAACACGCGGATTTTATTCAATTAATTGATTCTAAATAAAATAATTTTTGTTCAAGTATTTGTTGATTACAAGTAGTCGTAATATTAATACAGTAGAAAAATACTAGAATAACATATTTAAGTCCGTTATTTTACTTGTTTTTTAAAAATGTTGATTACTTAAAAAATTAAGACTTTTATTTTTAATCGACTTCAAATATTAAAATTATTGTCCTTCCAATAAAATGAGCTTATTATATAATATCTTTTTTGTAATAGAAGATCTTATCGATTAACTTAAATAATGAAAACGCACGTCAATATATGAACTTGCATATTTGCATAGCATCTTAGGTGGCATAAACTAGACCACCTTCGTCCTCGAAAGCAACGAACTCATATGTATGACCTACTCCAGGTTTTTGTAAAGACTGCGCACTGTTAATTCTTTGCATTATATATATATTTGTATTACTCGTACTTCATATCCGACGATATATGTAATTATTTGCTCACTATATTCGAACATTCGAGACAACGTGCTGCAAAAATTATTGAAATTATAGATACTACTGTTATCAGATACTACAAAACTGAAATAAAAAAAAATGAAACACCACTAAACGTCATATATAACAAAAGAGTTCTAATACATTTTTATAATATTGGTAAGGTCATAATAATTTTCGTCCCTTTGTTTTCAAAATCGATCAGAATCGAGAACAGTGTTGCCTAACGTATACATCATTAAATGTTAAATTTGGCCAAAGAAATGTACAAGCGGCCGTACCACGAAACTGAATGCATTATACAAAATTGCGTTCCTTTGGTATTCATGGCGTATTAACAAAGGATCACAAATATATCGCACCAAGTAAAAGCCACAATGTATTACAAATCATGAGGCATACACTCGGTTGCATATTTGTTTTCTCGAAATTCATACAAAACCAAAATAATTGTTACTAAAAAAATTATGCATCTTCTGATTACAAAATCACTTGCCCGTGGAAGGAAACGTCTCTGATTACCCGTTTACCCACAGTTATGGTGCTTTTGCAGTTGTAATGGCACAATTATGCATTTTTCGCGTTTTCGACTGGTGTTTATCCACGACAACGGTCGCGCGCGTTCTGAAGTGTAGCAGCGGCAACTTGAATTTCACTTATTTTGGGCACGCGAAGTACGTAAACTTGCGGCGTCTATCTAGATATATGTCTGTTTTCTTTACAGTGTGTCTTACCTACATGTGAAACGGAGCTTCGCGCGAGATCCTAGAACTGAATATCGAGTTTTTAGGTTTTCGCGCCTGTTATGAATGGAAAAGTAAAATTATGGAATGAAATGGAAATGGTAATTATAGAAATGAAACTTTTTTTCGTACTTAATCGCGTATGTTGTTTGTTCAAATAAACCAATATTTCGAGTATTTTACAGTCGCATTCAGTTATCGTTCAGGAGACGGCAGTAACAAACACAGCGAAAGCGGATAAGCAAAATTTTGAGGTCGGTTTTTGTAGCGAATCGCAGCAGTCGCTACAAATCTCTTTTGTATATATTTTATAGTATCTTTAAGTTTTAGTTAATTCTAAATTTAAACGTGATGGTTTTTGGCGCCTTTTCGTGATTTGTCTTTGCTGTTTTGCTTTGATAGCGACATATGTGTTTTGTAATAAAATTCTTAAACTGT